AAAGAGTTCTTGCTTGATGAACATGATTTGTTGGGGAAGAGTCAACATGGCTTTTGTAAAGGGAAATCATGCCTCACTGATATATTAGAATCCTTTGAGGGGGTCAACAAACACCTGGACAAGGGTGATCCAGTGGATATAGTGTACTTGGACTTTCAGAAAGCCTTTGACAAGATCCCTCACCAAAGGCCCTTATGCAAACAAAGCAGTCATGGGATAAGAGGGAAGGTCCTCATGTGGATCAGTAACTGGTTAAAGGATAGGAAACAAAGGGTAGGAATAAATGATCAGATTTCAGAATGGAGAGCGATAAATAGCCGCATCCCCCAGGGGAACTGTACTGGGACCACTGCTATTCAACATATTCATAAATGAGCTGGAAAAAGGGTTGAACAGTGAGGTGGCAAAGATTGCAAATTTACTCAAGATAATTAAGTTCAAGCAGACTGTGAAGAGTAACAAAGGGATCTCACAAAACTGGGTGACTGGACAAGAAAATGGCAGATGAAATTCAGTATTGTTAAATGCAAAGTAATGCACAATGGAAAACATAATCCGAACTATACATACAAAATGATGGGGTCTAATTAGCTGTTACCACTCAAGAAAGAGATCTTGGAGTCATTGTGGATAATTCTCTGAAAACATCTGCTCAATGTGCAGCAACAGTCAAAAAACTAACAGAATGTTAGGAAAAATTAGGAAAGCAAGAGATAATAAGACAGAAAATATCATAATGTCACTATACAAATCCATAGTATGCTCACACCTGGAATACTCTATGCAGTTCTGGTCGCCCCATCTCACAAAAAGATACATTAGAATAGGAAAAAGTACAGAGAAGAACAACAAAAATGATTAAGGGTATGGAACAGCTTTCATACGAGGAGAAATTAAAAAGACTGGGATTGGTCAGCTTAGAAAAGAGATGGCTAAGGGGGATATGATAGAGGTCTATAAAATCATGACTGGTGTGGAGAAAGTGAATAGGGAGGTGTTATTTACCCCCTCAGATAACACAAGAACCAGGGGTCACCCAATGAAATTAATAGCAGCAGGTTTAAAACAAACATAAGGAAGTACATCTTCACACAACGCACAGTGAACCTGTGGAACCTGTTGCCAGGGGATGTTGTGAAGGACAAAACTGTAACTGGGTTCAAAAACTAATTAGATAAATTCATGGAGGATAGGTCCATCAATGGCTATTAGCCAAGATGGTCAAGGATGCAACCTGGTGCTCTGGGTGTCCCTAAGCCTCTAACTGCCAGAAGCTGAGACTGGATGACAGGGGATGGATCACTTGATAATTGCCGTTCTATTCATTCCCTTTGAAGCATCTGGCACTGGCCACTGCCAGAAGACAGGATACTGGGCTAGATAAACCATTGCTCTGACCCAGTATGGCCTTTCTTATGTTGTTTTTGAACAAGGGGCTAAACAGTGCAGAGGCCCATTAACCCAGTGAGGTTCAGGCCACCAGACTGGATAAATGGCACTGATAAATGAAGCCCTTTGAAACCAAAACACATTGAGACATAATGGAGTTAAATTACCTTTATTGGGGTCGGTGGGTGGGTGGAGTGGAGTTAGTTCAAATTTCTCCTTAGTATTTTTGTTCCATCATCAGCAATCCAAAATAAGGGCTACAAACAATTCTCAAATCCCAGCCTCTCATAGGGGCAATCTACCAACAACCATTATCCCAGGACAGATGGTTTTCTGCAATAACCAGCACATCTGAACACTGTACATCTCTCCCCCCTCTCCCACCTGCCTCCATACTGATGAACTGGCAGGGGTCTGAAAACACGTTTCCTATTGTCTGAAATACTGGAAAAACATCTAATTCCCTTCTGGCTTACAAGAACAGAGTGAATAGGTCATGCAGAGACATGGGACAATGTGCATGTGCACAATCACATGATTGGTTTAGGTTTCAATCCTCCATTCAGATCTGTCCGGGCAGATCTCTGAGTCTGTGCACAGTTGCAGAGGTCTTCCAGTGCAGATGTGAATGCAAGATCAGGGCTTTAGAATATAAACTCGGAAAGAAAAGGACATTTTCACAACACCGAAACACTGTCAAAGCATAATGAATAATAACGTCCACATTAATTGCTGCAAAGTGGACAGAGAAAGTGGCGGAGAGGTCAGATCCTCCCCTTGGTCCATCCCCTAACCAACCAGGGCTCAGGGACGGACTTTCACAGCACTGCCACTGATATGTGGAACTCCCGCCCCCCCCGCCCCACACACACACCCTCCCAAATTTGAAAATATGCAAATTTTGCCCATAGGCCAATTTGTTGCAAAATTTTCACACAGTTCTAGTTGCAATGTGCTCTCAGTATCCTGAGTGTTCTGGTTGGTTGCTCAGTCTAAGGCCTTGTCTACACTACAGGGGAAATTCGATCTAAGCTATGCAATCTGAGTTACGTTAATAGCATAACTCAAATTGACGTAGCTTAGATCTACTTACCGCAGGGTCCACACTACGCGATGTCTACGGGAGATGCTTTCCCGTCACCTCCCCCTACTCTTCTCGATCTGGTGGAGTACAGGAGTCAATGGGAGAGCGATTTGCGGTCGATTTAGCGGGTCTTCACTAGACCCGCTAAATCGACTGCCAATGCATCGATCGCCTCTCGTCAATCCCCCGGTAAGTGTAGACAAGCCCTAAGATACAAGCTGTGAACAGTAGTATACCCCTATGGGCTTGATGCACCAGGTCTAGCTGAGCTGTGTTCAATGCAGGATCTGGGACTGGAGCAGGAAGAAGGGCTCCAAGCCATCTTTCCATTGATTTGACCCTCAGTCTGACTAGAGACCAACCCCTGTCAAATGTAGAGTCTCCTAATGTCTGAAACAGCTACAGAGGTTCCCTACGGACTGTTCCTCCATCACCAGATCAGTGTGTTGTGCTGTGCTCTGCCTCTTCCCAGTCCTGGACTGTCCAAAAATGCCCTCTATTCCACCCAGGGATTCCTTTTGCCCCAGGGGAATGCCAGTTGCCCAAATAGGGTAGGCACTTATGAACTATGAGGCCTGAACAAGGACTGGTGGTGTCTGACACTTGTCTTACTTCCAAGATTTTAAATAAAAAAAGTAAGTGGCAATGGATACCCGGGGTTTTCTATGAGATTTTCTTACTCATTCCAGCTTCCACGAATGTCTCTCTGTCAGGCACCCAGCAGGGCTGCAAGTACCAGAGGGGAATTCCCTGCAGGGACTCCACCAGCCACCCTGGCACTGCTGTGGTGGTGACTCTGTGTGCAAGGGGATTCATGCTCCTCTGCATTCTCAGAGATGCCCTGCTTGGATGAGAGAGCCCCCATTCTGTGCCCCCACACTTGTGCACACTAACTGGCAGGGGTGGCTCTATGTTTTTTGCCGCCCCAAGCACGGCAGTCAGGCGGCCTTCGGCGGCATGCCTGTGATTCGGCGGCATTTCTGCGGGTCCCATGCCTTCGGCGTACCCGCTGCTGAATTGCCGCCGAAGCCGCAGGACCGGCGGACCTCCCGCAGGCATGCCGCTGAAGGCTGCCTGACTACCACCCTCATGGCGACCAGCACGCCACCCCCCTGCAGCTTGCCGCCCCAGGCAACCGCTTGCTGTGCTGGTGCCTGGAGCCGCCCCTGCTAACTGGCTAAGTCAAATCTGATTCAACAGCTGGATTCGCTATCTATGAATCCGGCATATAAATAGTAAATCAGGTGGGCTGTCACTGTACAAGGACAGAAGTTCTACCAGGTGAACTGAATGGGAGGGTTGCTCAGAGAGAGACAACAGGTACTACTTATTTTAGATCCATGTCACTATGAATATTCTTAGTTCTGGCCTTGATAAGGTCTCTGGAAAGGAATATAACACCACCATGTGACTTTTAATTCGTTAGTAAAGCAAAGCAGCATATTTGGTCTATTTTTCTTAATAGGAAAAAAGGGACTTACCTGACCAACGTACGTTTCCCAGCACTGATCCTTCTGACTTTGCATGTTGTAGGGATAGGAAGTTGTCTTGTTAACCAGCACGACAGGTATTGTATAGTTCTGAGTATGACTCTTTTCCAGTGTCAATGTGCTGTTTCCCTTAATTCTTATATCAGGGATAGTGGTAGATAAGTTGTCTTCTTCGGGAAGGGTTCTGGTGACTAAGAAGGTGGTGGAATCTATCCAGTTACTTGCACTGCTGTTAGCTTCAGCTTCCTGAAAGAATGGAACAGAAGTTTAATCTAAATGTCTAAGTGTTACATTTTCAGCTATGGTCTCCATCTGCCTGCAAAACCGTGCAGATGTCCATGCGTCCAAAATTGCAAAGGCATCCATTTATGTGCTCAGCCATATAATTTCATGGACGAGTTAGGTGGCTAGGCACCCAATTTCCTGATTTGTATGTGCAAATGATCTACTAGTTTCGTAGGCACAAAACAGGAAGTTGATTTTATACCAGGTTGAAATATTTGGCCTAAAATGGTGACCTATTTTACCAAAGTAGTTAAACGATGCACAGAATGGCTATCTATTTGTGTTATTTATCAGCATCCCTATGGATCTGAATTTCTAGCTGACTGAAAAGATTTATAAATGAATACCACAACTGATCTTCTAATCAGAGTTCCACTATATTTTAATAGGTATATTTTGGTATCAAACAAATTTATTTTGGACTTTAAATATGCTATAATAAGAGTTCTATGTGTAAAAGTAGCTAGTTTTAAGACTCATAATAATACCAGCAATACTTACAGCGATACTCATGCTGTCCACTTTATCCAACAGAGCAATAATTAAACTGTAGAGGTTTCCCAGATATAAAACGAGAACCCTGAAAACAACAAGCATAGTATATGGGACACAGTCATCAGGGTTATTCTGAAGACTTCTATTCATGTTCTACACTGTCTGAAGTAAAATGTGTCATCAGTACATTTCTTTCCTCCCACCAAACAAACAAACAAACCAAAAATTGCTTTGATACGGAATATGCCCTGTACCTGGCAAGCTGAAAACGAAGAGTGGTTCTAGGGTGATACATCTCTAGCGCTGCCACAAGTTCAAATGCAGAGGGTGCAATCATAGTAATTAGTGAAACAACGACACTCACCTACAGAATAGAAAGACAGTCTTTATGATGCTTTTTCATAGCCGCCTTTGGTACTTGAAGAATTTTTTGCTTGCTGATTGAACTCTTGATGATGCACTAGAAATACTTAGTGGTGATTGCGATAACTCAGCAAATTCTACTTTTAAATGTGTCATTGACAAGAGTAAGGACATTTGTGACCCAGAATTCTTGATCTGGAATATTGCTAAGAATCATAGAATAGAATCTCAGGGTTGGAAGGGACCTCAGGAAGTCATCCAGACCAACCCCCTGCTCAAAGCAGGACCAATCCCCAGACAGATTTTTGCCCCAAATGGCCCCCTCAAGGATTGAACTCACAACCCTGGCTTTAGCAGGCCAATGCTCAAACCACTGAGCTATCCCCTCGCTATGCAATGGAGGTGGTAATTGTGTATGGCATCCATGTAGCTGAAGCAGGGCCGCCCAGAGGATTCAGGGGGCCTGGGGCAAAGCAATTTCAGGGGCCCCTTCCATAAAAAAAAGTTGCAATACTATTCTATCTATCTCCTAGAACTGGAAGGGACCTTGAAAGGTCATTGAGTCCAGCCCCCTGCCTTCACTAGCAGGACCAAGTACTGATTTTGCCCCAGATCCCTAAGTGGCCCCCTCAAGGACTGAACTTACAACACTGGGTTTAGCAAGCCAATGCTCAAACCACTGAGCTATCCCTCCCCCCGGGGGATTCTTGAGGGGGCCCCTGCGAGGCCCGGGGCAAATTGCCCCACTTGCCCCCCCGCCTGGGCGGCCCTGGGAAAAATAAACATTTAAAAACCTTCCTCATCTCGGCACAAACCCAGTTTTGAGAAAACTTCTTTTCAAGTCACCTTTACAAGGTATCACTGGTTCTCAGCATCAGCTAGTGCTAAAAGGCACTAAAGCTCATTAAAAAGGTTGGACAAATATTTTCCATCAAAACTTCTTTTGGATCGAAAACTAGGGGTTTTTAAAAAGCAGAAAAAAATCACGACAATGTCTGCTTTCCTTCAAAATTTGTTGTGGTTTTTTTAATTGAAAAGCTGAAATTAGTCTGACAAAACCTGAACATGGTTTAGGGTTTCAGAAGTGTGTGGCCAAATATTTGCTGCTTGCTGTGTTTGATTGTTTAAAGAAACAGTAAAAAAAATCTGCTTAAAAAAATCCAAAACTTTTGAACCACCTCAGCTTGTGATCAAACGCCTGAGCCCATCCAATCAGAGATTTTTCCAGGTTTCTGATACTCTGCTGGCTTCCTTGACTCATATCTGTCTCCTTAACTTTGGGTTCATTTAGGTTAGAACATAAGAATTGCCATACAGTACTGTTTCAGCCCAAAGATCCATCCAGCCCAGTATCCTGTCTACCGACAGTGGCCAATACCAAGTGCCCCAGAGGGAGTGAACCTAACAGGTAATGATGAAGTGATATCTCTCCTGCCATCCATCTCCACCCTCTGACAAACAGAGGCTAGGGACACCATTCCTTACCCATTCTGGCTAATAGCCATTAATGGACTTAACCTCCATGAATTTATCTGTTTCCTAGAGACTGGCTCCATGGGGTCCCTCACAAACTGGAGATGGTTACTGTGGGTTTGTCTTTAGTACAGCTTATGTACATACTCCACGAACTGAGCATTTGAACTTGTTCCAGAATCTGGGATAAGCCTATGCTGTGAAAGCCAAAATGCTCAAAATAGCACATGCATGTGAATTAAATTAAATTAAATTGCTAAAATTAAATTAACCCAGGGGGTCTCAAACTCAGGGTTGGGACCCCTCAGGGGGTCACGAGGTTATTATGGGGGTCGCGAGCTGTCAGCCTCCACCTCAAACCCTGCTTTGCCTCCAGCATTTATAATAGTGTTAAATGTATAAAAAAGTGTTTTTAATTTATAAGGGGGGGGTCACACTCAGAGGTTTGCTATGTGAAAGGGGTCACCAGTACAAAAGTTTGAGAACCACTGAATTAACCCCTTTGGGGAATGCAGGGGGGGGGTCTCCCTTGGTAGGGTTGGGAAGGAGGTAGGTGGTGTAGGACAGGGGTTGGCAACCTTTCAGAAGTGGTGTGCCGAGTCTTCATTTATTCACTCTAATTTAAGGTTTCGCGTGCCAGTAATACATTTTAACGTTTTTAGAAGGTCTCTTTCTATAAGTCTATAATATATAACTAAATGATTGTTGTATGTAAAGTAAATAAGGTTTTTAAAATGTTTAAGAAGCTTCATTTAAAATTAAATTAAAATGCAGAGCCCCCCGGACCGGTGGCCAGGACCCGGGCAGTGTGAGTGCCACTGAAAATCAGCTCGCGTGCCGCCTTCGGCACGCGTGCCATAGGTTGCCTACCCCTGGTGTAGGATATTGCTCTTCTCATGTGATCCCTCCACCATGGCTCTCTTAGCTCTATCACTGTTAATCTAAAGTGGCTAATTTTAAATGAAGCTACCCTCCCATGACATGAATCTCCCTATGGCACTGAAATTAAATGTAGACTATAATTTGGCATTTGAGAAGTGAAAGGGATGGTAGCCCTAAGGGAAAAGATAACAGCTTGGCTCTTTGTGTTAAATAGCTGTCTGCAAACCTCAAACTGCTGAATGAGCTTTAGGGTAGGGAAGGCTGTGCCTCCCCAAACAGCCTGGCCCTGCCCCCATCCGACCCCCACCCACTTCCTGCCCCCCTGACTGCCCCCCCCAGAATCCCCGACCCATCCTGCTCCTTGTCCCCTGACCACCCCCCGAGACCTCCTCCCAACCACCACCCCGGGATCCCACACCTCATGAACCCCCCCCCCCCCCCGCCCCCTCCCCCCCCCCCCCCCCAGAACCTCTGCCCCCTCCCTGTCCCCTGACTGTCCCCGGGACTCCCTGCCCCTTATCATGCCGCTTACCCCCGCCTCCCCGAGCCTCAGCGCGTCGTGTCCAGGAGCAGCCCTGGATAGCGCTGCAGTGGCGTGGCTCCGGCGGTACCTGAGCTCCCGCTGCCTGGCCGCAACTCGCAGCCCCGCCCCCTTACCACGCGGCTCTGAGCAGGAGGAGCTCAGGCCCCACTGGAGCCACGCCGCTTTAGCTCTGTCCAGGGCCGCTCCTGGACGCGGCGCGCTGAGGCGCTGGGGGGTGGGGGAAGGTGGAGGCAGGGGGGGGAGCCGCCGACATTCTCGTGGGGGCCCCTGCGGAGCCCAGGGCAAATTGCCCCACTTCCCCTCTCCCCCCCCTCCTCAGGCGTCCCTGAGCTGAAGCTCCATCCCCATGTCTCCCCTGACCTATTCCCGCAGCCCTAAAACTCCAGTGCAATCAATTGTTTATTCACACTTCTTTCATGGGTCTCCCCTAAGGCCCTGACTTTGAAAACAATTATGCATGTGTTTAACTTTACTACCAGGTGTAAGCCCATGCCTCCTCTATACCCATTGAGGGGCTGCTGGGCAGAGTTTGGCCCCATACTAAGGACAGATATCAGCAAAATCAACAGTAATTTATAACCAGCCAAGAGGCTTGTGAAGACTTTGCAGAACACAGAACTCTAACCAGAGTGCACAGTTACAGACTAACAAAGAGGTCAAATACAGCTGATATACTGTACCTCATTTTTCTCCCAAAGCGTCAGTTCCTTTTTGGTACGCTCTAATTTTTGGGATCGATCCACAACAAAGTAAATGATGTAAATACTTCCAGCAAGTGAGAGAAGGACAAGGATGTTTGCAATAATCCTTAAGCATATTGTCACAGCCCTAGAAAAGAGTCACACAGCAAATGCTACAGATGGGCCATCTTGCACAAGTAGGTGTTTCCCGCATTTTTTTTTAGGTCATAAAACAAACAAGTCAACACTGTGTTATCTGCATTTAAACAGTAGTTTTGAAAATAGCCTCAGCCATGTATACCTACAGGTTTTTGCTTTTCTTCTTTTCCTGCTCTTCCAAAATAGCTTCCTTGAAAGAAACACAGAATTACCATTTTAGCAGCATTCAGTAAAATCAATAAACTTTCCTCTACCTGTTACAAACCATAAAAGTTAAAATGGCCAGATCCTGCACTGCATTGGGGAACAGCTGACATGCAGCTCTGTGCTTCTTTACTTAATAAACATACTGCATGCTGTGGGTTTAGTGAAGGAGATTTGGAGGGAGTAAAGACATTAAGAACTTTATCACCCTCTCTTTCCTGGTGTATGCTATATTCACTCCTTTCCAATATGTTCATTGTTTAGATCCCAGTCCTGTTCTAGGATTCATTAATGTGGACCTGTGGGTTGTGTTGTCTCATTTGCTTCAATAGGACTGCACGTGAGGTCCCCACTAGCAGATATTAATGCAGGATAGGACCCTTAGATCATGAGTTGTTCAGAGAAAGGACACATCACCTGTGTGAGACAAAGTGGGTGAGGTAATATGTGGACCAACTTTTGTTGGTGAGAGTGACAAACTTTTGAGCTCGCATTTCAGAACAGCTCAGTGTAGTTCAAAAGCTTGTCTCTGACACCAACAGAAATTGGCCCATTAAAAGATATTACCTTACCCACCCTGGTCTCTCTAATATCCCGGGACCAACACAGTTACAACAACACTGCATACATCACTTGCGTGTTTCCCCTGAGGCACGTAACACCCACATGTAGATGTTACAAAATAATATCAGCATAAGTCATCCCAGCGTTTGAGATACAAATCAAACTATTTATTGGTTTGTCCTAGACAATTTGGAGTCATTTGGACAAAGGGCTTTTAGTGATGATGTGCCAAGGTTATGGAATCAATTACTTCTGTATATTAGGAAAGCTGTGTCTATTTTTTAAAATCTAAATGGAAAGGGTTCATGTTTAATGCAGCTTTTAATGTTGATCTAGTTATAAAATTCCCCTGAACTATTTTGATGAAAGTACAATATAAATGCATGTTATCAGGTTACTAAAAGGATCCTGATTCAAAGATTCATTAGAGTTGCACCAAGGATGAATTTGTCTCAAGGTTTTTAACTCCAAACAACACATGTAATAATGGGGATTGAGATGTTGCTGTTGGAACATCACACAATAAATGAAATGGAATGACACTGTTGAAAAAAGTGTCACGTGACAAAGTGACATATCATGCCTGTTAACCATAACTCATGTCATCAGTGAAAGTTGGGCACACAGATCAAGTGCATGAAGCAGCAGTAAGATATTTGATACTAGCCCTCTGCTAGGTAATCAGACTCAGAAATAAACACAATGCACAACAGGAAAGAAACAGTATGGAATGGAATGGATGAAAAATCACTCTGCTATTTACAAAGCAATAGACCTAAACCAGGGGTGGGCAAACTTTTTGGCCTGAGGGCCACATCGGGGTTCCGAAACTGTATGGAGGGCCGGGTAGGGAAGGCTGTGCCTCCCCAAAGAGCCTGGCCCCCGCCCCCATCTGTGCCCTCCCACTTCCTGCCCCTTCAGAACCCCCGACCCATCCAACCCCCCCTGCTCCTTGTCCCCGCCCCTAACTGCTCCCTGGGACCCCACCCCCATCCAACCCCCCCTGCTACCTGTCCCCTGACTGACCCAACCCCTATCCACACCCCCGCTCCCTGACAGGCCCCCCGAGACTCCCACACCTATTCAAATGCCCCCTGCTCCCTGTCCCCTGACTGAACCCCGGGATCCCCTGCCCCTTATCCAACCCCCCTGCTCCCCACCCCTTTACCATGCTGCTCAGAGTACCAGGACTGGCAGCCGTACTGCCCGGCAGGAGCTCGCAGCCCCGCCGCCCAGAGCGCTGGCGGCACGGCGAGCTGAGGCTGCGGGGGAGGGGGAACAGCAGGGGAGGGGCCGGGGGCTAGCCTCCCCGGCTGGGAGCTCAAGGGCCGGGCAGGACGGTCCCGTGGGCCGGATGTGGCCTGTGGGTCGTAGTTTGCCCTCCTCTGACCTAAACTATGCTTTTGCTCAGAGTCTCGTTGCTTACCCTGATACTATTAACTATTGCAGCAGCTTTGCTTTCTGCAGCCTCTGGATTTCCTATTAAATAGTCCCAAGCACAGAACACTCTCCAGCAGAAAGTATAATTTTCATCAGAGGCACTTGCTAGACTCATTCTTGAGTTCTTCGCCATTCTGGAAAAGAAGAATAATAATAAATGTTAATTGTTGTCAATGTGTGACGGTTTATGTGATGGTAATTGGCTCACAGGTGTCTATATCACAAAAAATGACCAAAATTGGAATTAACTGGTATCTTTGTTGGCAATCTCAATAGAGAACCTAAGAACAGAGAAAGATACAGAGACTGAATTACTCCTTGTCCCTAGGAATGCATACTCCAATTCAGAGTTCAAGCACATTGGTTGGATAGTATGGGAAAATGTGCACTGCTGCCTGTTTCTGATAGAAGACTTCAGTCTCAAGGGCTGTCCATCTTATACCTTTCACCAGACAAAATTCACTTTTAAAACCTCTGTGTCGGATCTGATTGGAGGAAAGGTGTCATGGCAAGGTAAGAACATTGTCACTATGATCAAGAGATAGCTTGGCAAAAATGTGATGATCTTACACAGGATCGATGGCTATCCTTTATTATGAATGCAGATAACAATAGCGATGGCACAGTAAAAAGACAACTGATAGTCAGATGAAAAACCTAGTTTTAAAAAACCTTGTTTTAAAAAATAGCCCTCCCATCTCAGATGAGTAGACCTTCGTAAGGATATAAGAAATCAATTCCAGGTCTTTAAAGGAGTTAGGTGATCATTACAAAAAAACTACCCCAACAATATGAAAATAAAATTATATTGTTTTAATCAAAGATATTTGTGCTCGGTTTTCTTCAGAATATTAAATATGAGTTTGTGCTGTACAATACATTAAATGAGACCATCAGGGCTGGCTCCAGCATTTCTGCAGCCCCAAACAAAAACAAAACCAAAAACAAATAAAAAAATAAAAGCCGCGATTGCGATCGGCGGCGGCAATTGGAAAAAAACAAAAAACAAAAAAGCCGCGACCGGCGGCGGCAGTTCAGCGGCAGGTCCTTCGCTCCTAGAGGGAGTGAGGGACCTGCCGCCCCCGACTTGCCGCAGGTGCCGCCCCTCTCCCTTGGCCGCCCCAAGCACCTGCTTGTTAAGCTGGTGCCTGGAGCCGGCCCTGGAGACCATGTTTCTCTCTAAGTATCATAGAAAATAATTAAATAGGTAGAATTTTACTGTACAGCAAATAGTTGGTTCAAATATCTTCATTGGATCAGCATAGCAGTCAGAAATTCAGTCACCTCCTCCTTTTCTCTGGAAATGTGGCCCATCTGTGTATGTAATAGCCATATGGGTCTACCATTGCCATATGACTATATATTATTCCAGAGATGTTTCACATAACACAATACAATGTGCATCTGGTGTGGCTTACCAGAGGCTAATAAGAACTGTTTCACCTCAGACAGGAAATGGTAGAAGGGTCACAACAGATGGGCAAACAAAGAGTCAATGACCTAAGGCGGCACCCTTCATAGGTAGAGAAAAGCAGATCTCATCCAGAACCTGAATGTATAATCAGTGTGTGAACCAGTGTCCAAAACAATGACCATCGTGATCTAAAATAACAGATCTAATGAAAAAGGAGTGATAGTTTTTGTGGCTGACACAGCTATTACAGCTCATATTAAAAATCCTCCTGGACTGCAACTTATCAGACAATTAGTTACCCTGAGAGGAAGGGAAACTGAATGGAGAGAGGATAAAGTGACCTTGCCCCACTAAGTACCGCACGTTTCTAGATTTATGGTCAGCACTGGCAGGCTCTCTTGCCTAAGTTACTTCCAGTCCTTCTACCTAAATAGCAAAGGAAATAAATAGGCCCACATTTGAGTACTGTGCAGTGTACCAGTTCAAGCAACATGAAGAGTTTTATGACAGCATTCTTATATTTGTATTTAACTGGATAGGAATCGTAGTATGGCAAATGTACAGGTAGCAATTTAAGTTTCTTGTCATAATACTTGTTCTGGAAGAATGGAAGCCTGATAAAGTCCTCAGTGAAAATCAGGCCCTACATCTTCAGTGCACTGTACAGACATTAACTATATAATGCTCACAACACTCCTAGAGACTGCTAAACATTACCCTCATTTTATAGACAGGGAAGCTGAAGGAGACAGGGTAAGTGACAGCAAAAGAACAAGCTACAATTAGAGCTCAGGAGTTCCTGGATCCCGGTCTTGTCCTTAATCTACCAGTAAAGATGCCTCTCTGATATTAGCAGGCTTGAATACGATACAGGAATTACAGAATTAAATCCAGGAGGAACTCTTTGAGGGAAGGGGAAAGAATATATCATTCAAACGGCCTGACTATATATCTCTGGGCAAACACCAATAAAAGGGAAACATTACTTTTTTAAGAGGATGATGAAGCTATAAGCAAATACTGCCATTCCAACAAGGAAGTAAGCCAGGGGCAGCCGATACCCAGCTTTCCCAATCTTCCGATCTCGGCCATAGTAGCCATAGAATAAAACAGAGTACTGGAGATAACCCTGCAAAGACAACATACAGTCAACATCAGCACCCACACCTGATTAAATTAACACACGAAGAATTCATGCAACAAAGCAATGAAGTGTGCTTTTAAGCCTTGCCCCCAGTGACCAGATGGTGTCCAGGTCCTGTGCTGATGCAAACTGCTCCTTTGGGATGGTCTTGCTGATAGTGCTTCCAAATGGCGCTCCTGCCAGGAGCTGATAAGAGAGAAAAGGTCTTAAAAACTGTGTAAAGCAGACAGTGCTACCACATGGTCTGTTGAGCACAGCCCGAAACAAGCTGCAACAAACTGCCTACCTGAGGGGCAGTATCAGAAGTACTATTACTGTCATTCATTCTCCTAAACTAGAAGTGTAGTGACAAATTCTGCATTCAACTCCTGCTGAGGTCAATGGGTGTTGGCCATGTCTATCTGATGGCAGAATTTAGCCCCTGAAGTCTAATTTTTAGGTAAGTTATTACTGTATAGACATAAGAGCTATTAAAGCACAGTATAATGTATGGGGAAGATAAATTTTTAGATCATTTATCACACTGATGTACATTAAAACCTGCTTCCTACTATATTAGATTGGTGTGCTAGACTTTTTCTCTTTATACATAAGACAATATAGACACTAAAGGCCTGGTTTGCACTGATGATCACACAGAGCTCCAGCTGAAGTGTCACAGAGTTGTGGATGCTCAGAACATCTGAAAATCAGGCTCTAAGGGCCAAAAACTGAGAGATGCTGAGCACCGATTTCTCCAGATGAAGCGAAGAGACGCTTCGGGTGCTCAACACGTGCTCTGCACCTTGCAGGATTGGGTCCCTAATATCAGCAATCAGAAACATCTACATTACAGTGGTATGTTGGTAAAATGTCATCTGAGACATTAATGGCAAGTTTCTCTCCTCCTCTGGCAGAATAATGCTCAACAGAGGAAAGTATTTTAAATCATTTAAATTGTACACTCGGAAAAAATCATGTATGCCTTTGAGCAGAACATTTATTTAATTCAGGAAGGGAAATGCTACAGTCAGTGTTTTTCTATAGATATTGGAGATATGTCCTAACCTCTGGTAAAACCACAAATGCTCCTGTCATTATGGTAAGCACAATATTGATTCCAAATAGCCATCTCAAAAAGATGAAATAAGAGGCAACTCCGGATCCAAAATGACCTGAAACCACAGGAAATACTTATATCAGCTGTGAAGCCTATCAGAAGCTGTATCACTTATTAATGAAGTATTATTTGATCATTAAAAAAAACAACAACTTTTCCTTCTCTGCAATGCACAGATCAAGACAGAGAAAATGCTATAACATCAATAATACAGAACTGTAATATAAACTGCTATTCATAGGTTTAAAAATCACAACATTTACAAGTGAAGTAGTTATGATCACAGGAATCTTCTTGGTTCAAGTTATACATAGCTTCTTATTTGCTGTTTATACAGAAACTTACATCAAAATGCATGTGTAGCTATTAGTAGTAGTTAATCTCACCTGTTTAGTTCGGCATCTAAGAATTCTCATCTTAAGTTTATGCAAACCATTTTGCTCTGCAAACCAGGCTGGAAATTTAATAAGATCAGTCCTTTTTAAAATGTGCTATTTCCAGTATCTCCTGATTTTGTCTGGACTGAAAATAGTGGTTCCAATTCTGATTTTCACAGTGCATCTTCATTGGCTACAGCAGAACTACTCATAATTCATAACACCATTAAGGAGTAGAGAATCAGGCCCTCTTTGTTTTCAATTTTATTACACAAAAATTCTGATTTCCATCACTGTCCACATGATCACAGTTGGTCCTAAGTATTGCAGGCTTTGTGCAAAGCAAGTCACATGGGGCCCCAGACTGACATCCACAATCTCCATTACATAAGTGGGAGTAGGGACCCTGGCACACGACTGGTTGGGTCAGCAATGTTGGTCATTAAGGTGATGCAGAAGCGGATAAATGGGCAGTCTGGGTGCTTGTAATTTCAAGAAGGTCAGAAGGGTTTTAACAACTAGGTGTGTGGGGTGGAGGCAGATTGTATTAGGCCCTCACTGCATGTCGGGAAGGAATACTACACCATGTAGACAGGGAGAATGTTCGCCTGTCATCTGGAAGGAGCAGGAAGAGCCCACTGGTACATACACTGCTGGCTCCCTTAGTTGATACAAACAGGGAGCAGTGTAAAAAGTCTGAATGGTCTGGCCTGAACATTCATTTTACAGCCAAATAAATACAGTAGTTGCCAATAAATTGTCAAAATTATGGAGCTGTTTTTATCCACGTGAAAATATCTGCAGTACAGAAAAATCCCTTCCATTTAGAACAAGATTAGAGCTAGATGTGAACATTGTCAGGAAAATATATTTTCCATTTTTGACCATCTTTAATATAGTTATTAAAGGTGGTCAATCACAATACTTAGCTCTTATATGGTGCTTTTCATCCATAGATCTCAAGGCACTTTACACTGGAGGGAAAGTTTAGTTTTAAAATATAGACTACATGTGAGGTCTCGGCTCCCAGCTCCATTCCCTTTGCTTCTAACAGGGCAAGTGGAGATTCTCTGCTTTAGGAGAATTTCCCTTACATAGCTGGCTCTGTGACATCTGCTCCCAGCTTGCTGATGTAAGAGGCAGGTCAGGGATGGACAAGAGTCAAAAGGAAATATGGCCTGAATTGCCACTGTCTAAGTTATATCAGGTTTCAGAGTATTATATTAGAGGCCAAATGGCTGGAGAGATGGCTTTGATCCAGTTTTCCCACTCCATGTCCTGTGCTGAGCACATCTTGGGCCAGACCCAATACAGACATCTGGGCCTATGTCTGTATTGCAAAAATACTTCAGCAGTTTATAGCGCTACAGGGCCTTTTAAACTACAGTTGCCACACTGTAGTAACATTATACTACCGGTAGTATCACTAAAGACTATAATTGAGAAACAAATGTGGTATCTAACACACCAAGAGTAATACATGTGTTGACTTTTTAATGACAACCACACTACTTTGATGAAACTTTTAATGTTTTTATAATATTATTATATATTTCACTAATTCAGTGAGTTCAAACATAACCCTTAAGCCTAGTATTTTAGCATGGTTTGCATTGCACAATCCCACTAAATCTCCATACTTACTTTCTATTTTCTTTATTCTCATTTCCCAAGGAATGAAGATTACCATAAAGTTATATGCAAGCCGAACAAACTTCTTCCAGAGCTAAGAAAAGGGCACAGAAATAAGAGATTTGTAACTTTTGCACATAAAGCAATAATTGTCAAAAAGGTGTGAAAGTATTTTGTCCATGTGTAGCATCTTTCATCTAGTATCAGAAAGCATGTTATAAAAAACAACTAAGAAGTTTCACAGCACTCCTGTGAGGTACGTAAGATAAATAAATTGAGTCATGGTTTTGGGAACAGACAGTTCAGAAACTTTCCAGAAGTCAGAGAACCAGGTACAGAACCCAGAAGTCCCAACTCCCAAGTGAATGCTCTAATCACTAAAGCACACATGCATATATAAGAGAGAAGTTTTAATGATCTTAAGAGAATACCCTACAAAGAGCATTTTCCACCACTCTTTTTATATCTGGAACAACCAATGAGGGTACCCACAAAAAATACAATATATTTTAAATTTAGACCCATTTGAAATATACCTGAGATATATTTTAATACATCAGCACATTATTTGTCTGAAGCTGTATATATTAACAGCAGCACAGAACCTTTAATGCTTTGCATAAGAGTTACATTCTTAGTTGAAAGGAATTCTTCATGTAACATACCTCTAAAGTCTATGCCCACACTGAGGATAACACCCTACCTCTGCTTTCAGCTAATGCAGTTACTCCTTTAGCTCAAATGGTAGAGGTTTGGGCTTCAGTGCTCAAGATTCCAAGTTCACTGCTGGTAAGAATTGTTACACTTACATCTCCTACACCATAAGAGCTTTGCTGTGGAACATGTACGTCAACAGAACAAGAAAGATTTATTTTGCTTTGATGTAGGGGATCATGCCTTATTTCCCCCCTCTGCCTACTCTGTGGAGACTCTCCTTCTGGAGAGATTCAAACATTGCTTTCTCTCTCAAGTTTAACTTCCATCTACAGAACAACCTCAGGGATAAACTCAAGGAGAGTTGCACAAAAGTGACTGAGAGCACCCTATGACCCTTAGACAAGAAATAAGAAAGATAAGAATAAACTAAACCTGTGACAAGGAAAATGAATATTTAAGTGAAGTAAAATATGCATCGGAGAGAGAATACAAAAGTAGATGAATTTATGAGCACAAAACATTTTAAACAGATTCAGAAATTGTTACCAGACTAAGCCAGCATTTATCACAGTGTTTATGTACTTTATTAAGGAATCCTACTGAATAAGAAACCAGATTTCTTATAGAATGAATGAATACATAACACCTAATTTCAAATGTATAAGAGCAAGTAACTCTGAGCTAAGTCCTAATTCTTCTTAGAGACAGTGATCATTAATACTGAACTGCAGCATAATCAGGCGGTCTCAACTCTATGCTTGAGGATTTACTTCGAGCGCTTTGGACACATTTTCAAAGGGACCTCAACTCAGCCTCTAATTTGTGTGTGCCTAATTATTTTCATAGACAATAGACAGTTTTTTCACACACAATGGCATTTGCATGTGCAAATGAGAATGCACAAGTGACTGTGTGCACAACTGAGGACAAATTTTGAAAGTCCTTGAAATAAAAATATAACCTTAAATATGCACTCAGATTATTTCATGCCAGTAACCTCTACTCACAAAACATTATAATAACTTTTCTTATTTAATTCAGAAATGAATAGTAACTTTACTATCTATTGTAAATTGACTATATGCAAGTACAGTATTTTATCAGGTAATTCAAGATAATTTCATAGACATTTTCTTATGCTATCTGCTTCTGTTTCGTAAAAAGTAGAGAAATATTGTATATTCTGAAATTCAGTGATGAACAGGATGGCAACAACATTTATGTACATTAGTCATTTTTAAACACAAATTTACAGTAGATCTAGTTATTTTAAATATATATATATATATTTGCTTATATATATATAAGCAAATGGCAATATCAACATATTACAAATAGTCTAATCTGCTAAAGTCAAAGCAGAAGCAGACTTACATTTTAATTAATAAATGCATCAATCTACATGGTCAAAGTTAATTAATTTTTATGATGCTATTAAGGTGTTATTGCAAGAATTAACAGAGGCTATGAACTGCACCAAAGTCGCTACTTTAATTGGAAGGCAGTGTTCATAAGGCTGGAAAAGGGATCAAGAAACGTGTACAGGTTGCACTGCAGGCATATAAATTATATATATCTGGATGTCAATCTGAAAAAGCTTCGAGTAGCATTGATAAAAAAATAACTTCTAGTCCTGCATACTGATCACCTGAATAAAAAGGAATAATAATTTTCATCTTCATAGTCAAGACTCTGGGTAATTTTTATATGAACAAACATTGATTTATTAGTTTTAATCATAATGAACAATACTTTAGAAGTGATTTAATCTAATTGCTAGAAAATAATACTACATACCATTTGCCAGCTCTTTTTTTTTTTTAACTATGGCTACAGTGATTGGTGCAAAACCTATGGAAGGGTTAGTAAACTCTTACAAGTTGCTAATTAAGTATCCTACTCTCAGGCTATTCAACCAGTGAATGTTTATTCTCGTGGTGTAATGCTTCTATTGTGTATTTCATGATTTGCCAAATGGGCCATCGGTCAATATTCTTCTGGAAAAAACTGTCTAAACCTGTCTCCCTAGTTTAAAGAACAATTCAGCTCTCTAGCTTGTGCTGTGAATTTAACCCTTTACAAAAAAAAAAAAAAAGGACTTTCTAGTTTCCCTAATTCATAGCCAGCAAGCTAATACTATTACGCCAAACACAATAATTACTGGTAATGAACTTCTAAAATATATAGATGTATTCAGAACAGAGACAAGTAAAAACAGATAACATGGATAATTAAATGAGATCGCCACAGACTTTGAGGGCATTGTGAAGTATAAAGCAAAAGCCAAAATTTTGTTACAATATAGCAAGTATTAACTAATAACAAGTCCAACCTGTACAATTTAGCAGGTGTCTGCATGTTCAAAGTCCTTAGGCACTCAAATCTTTCAAACCGGGTGAAATCTTGGCCCCAGTGAAGTCAATGGCAAAACTTCACTCATAATGCCTAATGTGTGTGTGTGTGCATGGGCCCGCCCCCACAGACAGACCAATAAAACACAACTTTCCACTATCCAGGAAGGTTGTATTTTTTTATCAACTGTTTCTGATGACATAAGAGCAAAGCTAAAGTACTGTTGTTTATGTGTCAATAGAACAACAGATAAATATTTAGCCTTACAATTTTTAGTTTGGTTATCCTGCATTTTATATTCTATTACACACACACACCACAGTACAGTACAGTACAGTACAAGCACATTATTAAGTTTGTAAATGCAAGTCCTCAAAAGTTAGGAAGTACCAGTATTGAGGTTGCCTGTGCAACCTTAATTCAGTCCCCTTCTGCGTATGCATTATGATACAGTCTTTAATTACATGATCACATTAGGGTTGCCTGGCACCTGTCTGGTTTTCAGCACAGTCCCCGGATGTCATCTGACAAGCCCTGATGTCTGTTCTTTTTAATCTGTGGAAAAGGTGGCAACCCAAAGTGGAAGGAAGGAGGCAATGCAGCAGCAGCTGCTGCCACCTCCAGGGCCAGGCTGCTCATGCAGCTGGTGGTGGCGCATGGCCCTGTGCAGCCCACAGGTGGCAGGCAAGGTGGCCTCGGCTGTGCTGGTGAAGACCCTGTGAGTGACAGGGGCAGGATCTTGGGGGAAGAGGCGGAGCAGGGGTGGGGCCTGGGGAAAGAGGCGAGGCAAAGGCTGGGCCTCGGGGGTCTGGTTACCAGCCATTAGAAAGGTGGTAACCCTAGATCACATACTATTTTTCCACAGGATCTCTCCCAAAAGTGTTCATAACATTACCTTGAAAACAAAAAGGCAGAAACACTTCTCATATTAAATGACTGTACCTGGGCCCCTACTTCAGCAAAACAACTCTTTATAGAATACACATTGTTTGGCTCCTGTTCCCATCGCCAACCTTCTGGCAGACACACATTATTTGCTGGAGTATTTGAAAAGAAAAAATACTCATGTTACCGGAACGAGGCCCATCCCTCATACATCAAATTAGTTTGCAAAAATGTAATTACTAAATTCTTAATAGAAAAAAGAAGCTTATAACTGGATTTTTCTTCCACACAATTCTTGAACTGGGGAGCAGTGTTTCACAGAAAATAGGTACTTCTGTAAATGAGAATTCCAGATAATTGTTATAGGAAAGAGCTGTAGTTTTAATGAAAAGCAGACGTACCTCTGCACCAGCTGCTTGGTAACCTCTTGTTCTAGTGAGCCTGCCTTCATATTTCAACACAATCTCCTTAGCTTGTCTGCAGAGGAAGACAAAAACTTTATTTAATGTAACCAAAAATCTTATTACACTCTGAACTTGGGCCATACCACACATAAATGAAAGTTGCCAAGTAATGGGAAATATTGTCACAACAGACTACCTGCCCAATCCTGAAGTCCTTACTCAGGCAAAACTTCATTTTTACTTAAAATAAGAGTATTGCTAACAATTTAAATTAATGGGAGTTTTGTCTGAGAAAGAACCACAGGATCAGATCCCAACAGTTTGCAAAACGAATGTAAGATTTTCACTTTAGGGAGAGCTTCAGTAACATTTTTTCCTGTGCCCTGCTCCCTGGTTTCTCGAATTTTTCTGTAATAATGTAACCTAAATTGTCTCAAAGTAAAAACAATATAATACCTCATTTAGTTCAGTTTATGTGGATACCAACACTTCTTCTGAAAGTGTAGTCTAAAGCATGGGGTTGATCAATATAGCAACTGATTAATATTAAACTATTGGTTACATTTTAATCAGAGGTATTGGACAAGATATGCATACAGGCCTAATCCTACTCCAGACCACACCTGGAGTATTGTGTCCAGTTTTGGTCCCCCCACTACAGAAGGGATGTGGACAAATTGGAGAGAGTCCAGCGGTAGGCAGTGAAAATGATTAGGGGCAGGGCTGGCTCCAGTGTTTTTGCTGCCCCAAATAAAAAAAAAAAAAAAAAAAAAAAAGCTGCGATTGGCAGCAGCTCTACCGCCACCGCTTCATTCTTCAGCAGCAATTCGGTGGCAGGGACTGAGGGACCCGCCGCCGAATTGCCGCCGAAGAGCCGGACGTGCCGCCCCTTACCGTTGGCCGCCCCAAGCACCTGCTTGCTGCGCTGGTGCCTGGAGCCGGGCCTGATTAGGGTGCTGGGGCACATGACTTATGAGGAGAGGCTGAGGGAACTTGTCTTATTTAGTCTGCAGAAGAGAAGAATGAGGGGGGATTTGATAGCCGCCTTCAACTACGTGAAGGGGGGTTCCAAAGAGGATGGAGCTAGGCTGTTCTCAGTGGTGGCAGATGACAGGACAAGGAGCAATGGTCTTAAGTTGTAGTGAGGGAGGTCTAGGTTGGATATTAGGAAACACTATTTCACTAGGAGGGTGGTGAAGCACTGGAATGGGTTACCTAGGGAGGTGGTGGAATCTCCATCCTTAGAGGTTTTTAAGGCCTGGCTTGACAAAGCCCTGGCTGGGATGATTTAGTTGGTGTTGGTCCTGCTTTGAGCAGGGGATTGGACTAGATGACCTCCTGAGGTCTCTTCCAATCCTAATATTCTATGATTTTATACTTACACTAAAGTTATGGGATTTTTTTACTTTTGTGGGAGCTGAATAGGGGCCATAGGCAATCAGACAGGACAGGAACAGGGCATTTGCACATCCATGAAGGCAGCTTGGGTTTAGCTGCAAATTATGGGTTCTCACTCCAGGGATATGAGAAAAGTCTCCCTTTGCTTCCCAAGACAAGGCAAAGGTGGCCTGAGCGATGAACCTTCTTTGTTAGTAAAGTGCCATTCCAGCACACAGTGAGGTGACAAGGGAGAGATTTCATAGAAAGGAAAAAAAAGTCAAATTGAATGCACGGTGAAAAGACTGATGCTGTTTAGATAAGATATTAGAGAAAGTTATGAACTTTCATACTGTGTTTCAAATTTGGAACCATTAACCCTTATGGCTTTAAACTTTATGGTCACGATGATACTACATTGCATGCTGTCAACAGTCTACATGTACCTCATTAATCTGCAAACATGGGTACTAGTCTCTGCTATTTGAAACATAATTTAAAAGCTGAAGTGCCAAATTCTGTCTCCTCATCCAGCAAAGCCTCATTACTTTCAAACACAGCCTTCCTGAATAGTGGGAAGTTGTGCTGTTTTTGACAGTGTTTCACAGAGCACAAGGACAGAATTTAGCTGATAACATATTGTTGAGTATCTTTGACAGAATGTACAATACATATAGTGACATCACAGTGGTCCTTCCTGCAGGGCCGCCCAGAGGATTCAGGGGGCCTGAGGCAAAGCAATTTCAGGGGCTCCTTCCATAAAAAAAAGTTGCAATACTATAGAATACTATATTCGCGTGGGGGCCCCTGCGAGGCCCGGGGCAAATTGCCCCACTTGCCCCCCCGCCTGGGCGGCCCTGGGAAAAATAAACATTTAAATACCTTCCGCATCTCGGCACAAAGCCAGTTTTGAGAAAACTTCTTTTCAAGTCACCTTTACAAGGTATCACTGGTTCTCAGCATCAGCTAGTGCTAAAAGGCACTAAAGCTTATTAAAAGGGTTGTACAAATATTCTCTGTCAAAACTTTTTTTGGATTGAAAACTAGGGGTTTTTAAAAAGCAGAAAAAAATCACGACAATGTCTGCTTTCCTTCAAAATTTGTTGTGTTTTTTTTTAATTGAAAAGCTGAAATTAGCCTGCCAAAACCTGAACGTGGTTTGGGGTTTGTTTCAGAAGTGTGTGGCCAAATATTTGCTGCTTGCTGTGTTTGATTGTTTAAAGAAACAATGAAAAATTCTATTTAAAAAAAATCCAAAACTTTTGAACCACCTCAGCTTGTGACCAAACGCCTGAGCCCATCCAGTCAGAGATTTTTCCAGGTTTCTAATACTTTGCTGGCTTCCTTGACTCATATCTGTTTCCATAACTTTGGATTCATTTAGGTTAGAACATAAGAACATAAGAATGGCCATACTGGGTCAGACCAAAGGTCCATCCAGTCCAGTATCCTGTCTACCGACAGTGGCCAATGCCAAGTGCCCCAGAGGGAGTGAACCTAAGAGGTAATGATGAAGTGATATCTCTCCTGCCATCCATCTCCACCCTCTGACAAACAGAGGCTAGGGACACCATTCCTTACCTATCCTGGCTAATAGCCATTAATGGACTTAACCGCCGTGAATTTATCTGTTTCCTAGAGACTGGCTCCATGGGGTCCCTCGCAAACTGGAGACGGTTACTGTGGGTTTGTCTTTAGTATAGACTATGTACATACTCCACGAACTGAGCATTTGAGCTTGTTCCATAATCTAGGATGAGCCTATGCTGTGAAAACTGAAATGCTCAAAATAGCACATACATGTGAATTAAATTAAATTAAATTGCTAAAATTAAATTAACCCAGGGGGGTCTCAAACTCGGGGTCGGGACCCCTCAGGGGGTCACGAGGTTATTACTGGGGGTTGCGAGCTGTCAGCCTCCACCTCAAACCCTGCTTTGCCTCCAGCATTTATAATAGTGTTAAATATTTTAAAAAGTGTTTTTAATTTATAAGGGGGGGGTCGCACTCAGAGGTTTGCTATGTGAAAGGGGTCAAAAGTTTGAGAACCACTTAATTAACCCCTCTGGAGCCTCGGGGAATGCAGGTGAGGGGGGGTCTCCCTTGGTAGGGTTGGGAAGGAGGTAGGTGGTGTAGGATATTGCTCTTCTCATGTGATCCCTCCACCATGGCTCACTTGGCTCTACCACTGTTAATCTAAAGTGGCTAATTTTAAATGAAGCTACCCTCCCCTGACATGAATCTCCCTATGGCACTGAAATTAAATGTAGACTATAATTTGGCATTTGAGAAGTGAAAGGGATGGTAGCCCTAAGGGAAAAGATAACAGCTTGGCTCTTTGTGTTAAATAGCTGTCTGCAAGCCTCAAACTGCTGAATGAGCTTTAGGGTAGCGAAGGCTGTGCCTCCCCAATCAGCCTGCCCCTGCCCCCTATCCGACCCCCACCCACTTCCTGCTCCCCGACTGCCCCCCTCAGAATCCCCGACCCATCCTACTCCTTGTCCCCTCACCGCCCCCCCGATACCTCCCAACTACCACCCGGGACCCCACCCCCAATGAACCCCCCCTGCTCCCTGTCCCCTGACTGCCCCGACCCCTATCCACCCCCCCGCTGAGTCATGACAGACCTCCGGAATGCCCACGATCCAACCCCTCGTTCCCTGTCCCCTGACCTCCCCCCCAAACCTCAGCCCCCTCCCTGTCCCCGGGACTCCCTGCCCCTTATCCAACCCCACCGGCCCCAGCCCCCTTACCATGCCGCTTACCCCCGCCTCCCCCCTCTCCCGGAGCCTCAGCGCGCCGCGTCCAGGAGTGGCCCTGGACAGCGCTGCAGCGGTGTGGCTCCAGCAGGACCTGAGCTCCCGCCGCTCGGCTGCAGTTCCGCCCCCTTACCACGCGGCTCTGAGTGGGAGGAGCTCAGGCCCCGCTGGTGCCTCGCTGCTTTAGCTCTGTCCAGGGCCGCTCCTGGACGTGGCGCGCTGAGGCGCTGGGGGAAGGCGGAGGTGGGGGGGAGCCTCCAACATTCTTGTGGGGGCCCCTGCAGGGCCCGGGGCCTGGGGCAAATTGCCCCACTTCCCTCACCCCCCCCGGGCGGCCTTGCCTTCCTGAGCATTCTAATGCAGAATCATTTAATAGTTTTAATATTCCAAATGGCTCAGGAAAAGCTCTGATCACCACTAACCAACAATAGAAAGATTTTGAATTTGGAGCCCAAAACAAGGCAGAAGTGTAAAGAATGAAGAGCTGTGTGATACCTTGAGCATCCCGTAGATGCTGGGCAAAGAGAAAGACAAAGCTATTCTGGCCTGATCCAAAGTTCAATGAACATGTACAAAAATGAGCTGTAATCAACTTTTAGAAGCTTTTAAATTTTCAAAATCTTATGATTCCCAACCTTGTACTACTCTATGATGGAGCAGTAGGAAGATAGCTGCTGCATGGTTTTCTAGCAATTGTAAGCCATTCCTATGCTCACACCTAATTTAGGTTAACAAATTTGTGAGACTTGGAAAAGCAGTAATAAATGGTGGGATTGAAAGTGTCCATGAAAACTCTATTACCTGAGTGCCCTCAGCTTCTGTCTCATGGGCCATGGTCTGCAACGGATGTTTGCCATGATCTCTTTTTGAAATTGTATATTCTGGAATATCTGCTCTGGGTCATTGCTGTCCGCATTTAAATCACCATTATCATCACCTGAGTTACTGAAGAGACCCACACCCATGGGGGACAAACACAAAACAAGTTATTCCCATTCAGAACTATAGCAAAGAATAGACACACATACAATCCGGTCTATAACAACAGCATAACAACAGGAGTCCACCAAACTGGAGGAAGGATTGGACTGATTTCTCTGTTGTAGTTGGAGTCACCGCTTTCCTTGGCTAATCCTAGACTATCACTGCCAGAGATGACATTTATCCCTGTAGCTCAGAAAAATACTTCTGAAGAGCAATTTTTTTTGCCTTTGGAATGCACCAGCTTGCACACAGTGTCAGGCATTTTGGAGTACCCCTGTTTCCCTCAGCAGGAATTCAAACCCTCCAGCTCCCCACATTTCAAATCATACAGCTCAAACACCATGCTGTCCTGTCCATACACTCAGTATATTTTTCAGGAACTAAGTGCTATGTAAACATTTCCAGCAAGTGCACTTAATACAAATGTATTTGCCGTATGCAGCACTACCTTCTACTTTGATTGTGATTAGGATACAGTGTCTCTTTGTTAAGATGGGGACAACAAATGCCTAGAATGCTCTAGCCCTTCAATCCTCCACACTGCGAGTACTGGGGATTAACTGTGGGACCCCGTTACAGGGGCATTAAGAGTAGCACATCCCTGAAAATGAGACATGTACCCAGATACTGGTTTCTGCAGGCAATTATCTTTTTCTGATGTTGTTAGTGTATTTGTTGAGCTAAGAGGTGTTTAATTTGTGCTAGGGCTTTCCAGGACTGAGCCCCGGCACCTCTAGGCTTGACAGTTCATAGCCCTGGCACCTCTGGGCTTGCTGCATCCGTTATGCATGTAAAAAAATTACTTGAGCCCCGACACCTCTTTCATTACAAATTAAGCAGTGGAGCTAAGGATCTCAGTTCCCGTCTGTAACGCATACTGTATACTGTAAGTGAAGAACAAGCAATGCTCATGCTTACAGGGGACCGCGTCTAAAAGCTCCAGAAATTAAGATTTTCCTTTAGAAACAATATAAACAGAATTGCAACGCTACATGAAACAAAGCCAACAATTTAATATCAGCTTCCTACATTTGCTGGGAATGCCACCCACTAAAACTTCCCTGCAGCTTTGCTGAAAAATGGGACACCTTTGGAATTACTCAAATAAATCCTCAGTGGAGATGATTTTGGTCCTGTAAGGAACATTACAAAAAAAAAAAAAAAAAGGATTTAAGGAAAAATAAAACGGAAGGTTCTTATTCATCATTTGGATAGATTGTAGCAGAAAATGTAGAGGGGTGATGCCTCTTTTCACCCAGATCAATAATAGTTTTATCTAATATGCATTACAAGTGGAACAGAAGAAAATCTCTCACCTGTGGGGTGGCTCCTTGTACGCATACATGCTGGCATGCTGCCTCACACTTTTGTGCCTTTTGCAGGACTTCGTAGTTTTCACTGCAGCAGACCCACTTACTGTTGTCATTCTGGCAATACCTGAAGCTGTGTTAGACCCGGCTGCAGCAGATGGCATTCTGGAAGGCTAGAAGGAAGACTTAGGCTCTCAGGTGAAGTACCTTAAACAGCAAATGTTATTATCTGGAACTAGAGAGCTCAGAATGACTCCCGAGCCCTGCTGAAGCAGAACACTACTCGCCTGCAGCTGGTGCTCCTAAGAGTGGGAAAGACCTGAAACCTGGCAACGCATAGATAGTCTTAAAGTGGCAGTACACAAGATGCTCAGTCTGGTATCCTTGGGGCATTCTACCTAGCTTCCCAGAGTGTGTCTGGGCATCCTGCAGTCCAAAATCCAGAGCACAGATGCCATTGCCAAGTATGATAGTGACTAATCTCTAGGGTATGTCTGCCCTGCAATATAAGCCCAGGGTTCAAACTCAGGCTCAAGTCTAACCACTTCCACCCCATCTGTTTACACACAAATTGTGCTAACCCTCAGCTCAGACCCCAGGGTCCCAGGAGCCCCCCCAGCGGTGGAGCGTCCGAGCTTGAGTCAAGCCGGGACCCAGGGTTCAAGCCCTGTTGCTTTACAGTGTAGATGCAGCTCCACTGGATTCATGCTCTGGGGTCCACTAAAAGTATTCTACAATCCCACGGGCTGACTTTCTGTGTCCTCTGGACAGTCAAGTTTGGTGGACAGTCAAGTTTTTCCACTTCGCATCATGAACAAAGGGCTAAAGTAGCCACATTTTGGGAGGCCGCCAGGAAGTCTGGGATACAGGTAGTTGGACTCGGGCCTGCATAATGCAGTGCAGATGCTGAAGCCTCAGGTTGGGACCCAGGGTTCAACAATTCCTAACCTGGGGTTACAAATGAGTGTAGACGCACAAGTCCTAGGTTAACAAATCCAGGATCTGCTAACTTGAGGGTGTTCCAGTGGCTCAACTGGCTACACCCTAGTATTTACAGAGCAGTGCTGAGTAGAGACATGCTGAAGTTGTGACTTCAAGCCTCACCTGAAGCCCTGGTTTTCATTAACCAAATGGCTTCTACTAACCCTGGGCTTACATTGCAGTGTAGACATACCCTTAAAGGGCCAGAACCCACATCACTGCATTGAGGTGAAAGCACAAGTTCATATTAACATCTGAGTAATACAATCAAATGCACTGGGCCAGGCTACCAGAGTCTCTGCCTCACCACCTTGCAAGAAGACCTGGGGCAAAGTAGAGCTGTCAACATTTTTTCTTTGTCTTTACTAACAGCTGAAAATATGATCTCGTTTTCCCACATAACTTATGGATGTTGAATTTTCCACATTGGGGCAGACTTGGGCAAAATGGAAATAGACTCTGGTCTACTGAAGAATCCTCCCTCTCTTCTGGGCTCCAGACTGCAAAAACCCATCATGCTAACACAGCCACTGGGGGTGGGAATTGTGGAGCAGAGCTGCCAAAGCACAGAAGTCTGTAGGGCATTTGTTAGAAACAGCTGAGAGAGGATTTCCTGGTTCACCAGCCTGACAAGCCTTAGGCAATGACTAAACTGACTTCTGGAAGCGGCGCGGGCTGAGGGACGTACTGGCCTCCGCTTCTAGCAGCCCCCATTGGCCTGGAGCAGCAATCCGCGGCCAGTGGGAGCTGTGATCGGCCGGACCTGCGGACGGGGCAGGTAAACAAACCAGCCTGGCCCACCAGGGGCTTTCCCTACACAAGCGGCGACCCCTGTTTGAGAAACCCTGCTCTAGAGTGCCCAGTCCCGATCCACTGGACACACACGGAATTCCTAGATCTTCTGTTCCCAAAGAGGACCAGCACACCATAGAACACAGCTCTGCTTAAGACACAGTATTTAGATTTGTTTGTAAAGGAAGCGAGTATACGTTTTTTTTAAACAAAGAACAGAAATTCAAATGGTAGCAAGCAGAAATATTAGCAACAAAGGGTGACAAATAAAACAAAATCATAGCATGCATTCTAGACTCTAAACCAGGGGTAGACAACCTTTCAGAAGTGGTGTGCCGAGTCTTCATTTATTCACTTTAATTTAAGGTTTCGCGTGCCGGTAATACATGTTAATGTTTTTTAGAAGGTGTCTCTCTCTAAGTCTATATTATATAACTAAACTATTGTTGTATGTAAAGTAAACAAGGTTTTCAAAATATTTAAAAAGCTTCATTTAAAATTAGATTAAAATGCTGATCTTATGCCGCCAGCCTGCTCAGTCAGGGCAGAGGGCAGTGGGGATGTGGGGGGTTCAGGGCAGAAGGCCGGGGGTGTGGGGGGATTCAGAGGTCAGGGCAGAGGGTGTGTGGGGGTACAGGGCAGAAAGCTGGGTGTTGGGGGGGACTCGAGGTCAGTGCAGGGGGCTGGGTGTGTGTGGAGGTGCAGGGCAGAAGGCTGGGTGTGAGGGGGGTTCAGGGCAGAGGGCTGGGGTGTGTGTGGAGGTGCAGGGCAAAAGGCTGGGTGTTGGGGGCGACTCGAGGTCAGGGCAGAGGGCTGGGGGTGTGTGGAGGTGCATGGCAGAAGGCTGGGTGTGGGGGAGGTCAGGGCAGGGAGAGCGGTGGGTGGGGGGGGGCTGAGTGGGGCGGGGGCCCGGGGCCCCCACCGCTCTCCCCTGCCGGGGCAGGAGGCAGAAGCTTGGTCCTGCGGCAGCCAAGCTTCCCTCCTCCCCCGCTTCTTCCCCCAGCGTGGCGCGTTCCGGCCCCTCTGCCCCTCCTCCTCCTCTCACCGGGCAGGCAGTGTGCCACTCAAAATCGGCTTGCGTGCCCTGTTTGGTAGGTTGCTGACCCCTGCTCTAAACTTAACTAATAAGACGTCGTCATGTCATGGAGAACAAAAGCTCACCCTAAATTCTGCCAGTGTATTACAACCAGGTTTGGCTGTGGTCTTCCATTCATGAAACAAGTCCACTGTCCTCTTGCCTCCTCGGTGGAAAGATCCAGAGTTCTGCTCTGTCGGTCCTGTTATAGTCCAAAAATCCACTGTCGGCATTTAAAACCAGGATCCTCACCTTCACTTGTGTTTTTCTGTCTAGAATCAACCCTGGCGATTGTGCAATTACTTGATTAGCATTTTGCTCAGACTGTAAATGGTTGCCCATTGTGAACCATACAATACTCAATTTATATGTTGATAGATAAATAAACGTTTCTTGCTTGAAAGAAACCCGTTTCTCACCTTTTGGTGACTAGCCCCAAGTCGCAGACCTTAAGAACATAATTTTCAGTATACACACATAACTTCTTATATATTATCCATACATATATTTTACCCTGAGTATGAAGACCAGTGTGACACAGGCTTTCATTAGACACCTTTCATGATACTCTTTGGTGAACTACTATGTGGATACCAGACCCAGGGGAATTCCTGATGCACTCTGGTGCCCTCTGCCATGTGGCACCAAGAGATCCCAGGGTTACAGCATTAATAGCCACAGGACACAGGTCTCTAGAAAAGCGCCCGAGATTATAGGGGTATAGTCCTCAAGTACCATCTGTGAAAGCCATCTACACGTATCTGGGGAGAATTCAGTGTTTGAAGATTGTACTGAAGATAAATCTCAGCTCCTCCTTACCTTAATTCCTTTGGGTCAAAGCACCATGAAGAACAAATATAGAGGGGCTGTCTACAGTGTCTCTGCTTTGCAGACTTAGAAATCATTTTTTCTTTCAGCACAAATCAAGAGTGTGATGAGGAGCACTTAAAGAGATGGAAGGCATTGCAAGTGATGCATTGCAACAAATGTAGCACATTTAGACTGATTTCTTATAACTGTGATAAACTGAGAATATGGGGGCTAGATTTTCAGCCTCAGAGCCAGCTGCTTTGCAGTGCCACAGCGTAGCACTCCTCCAGATCTTCAGCTGACCTAGCTGTCCCTATGACCTCCAAGTCTTTTTCAGAGTCACTGTTGAACAAGATACAGCCCCCCATTCCTGTAAAGGTGACCTACATTCTTTGTTCCTAGATGTATGACTTTGCATCTGGATGTAATAAAGCACATGTTATTTGAAGGAGCACAGTTTACCAAGTAATTCAGTTTGTTCTGTGTAACTGAGCTGTCATTATTTACAGCGCCACCAATGTTATCATAGAATCATAGGACTGGAAGGGACCTCGAGAAGTCATCTAGTCCAGTCCTCTGCACTCATGGCAGGACTATATTATCTACACCATCCCTGACAGGTGTTTGTCCAACCTGCTCTTAAAAATCTCCAATGCTGGAGATTCCACAACTTCCCTAGGCAATTTATTCCAGTGCTTAACCACCCTGACAGTTAGAAAGTTTTTCCTAATGTCCAACCTAAACCTCCCTTGCTGCAATTTAAGCCCATTGCTTCTTGTCCTATCCGCAGAGGTTAAGAATAAAAAATTTTCTCTCCCCTTGTAACAACCTTTTATGTACCTGAAAACTGTTATGATGTCCCGTCAGCCTTCTCTTTTCCAGACTAAATAAACTCAAGTTGTTCAATCTTTCCTCATAGGTCATGTTTTCCAGACCTTTAATAATTTTTGTTGCTCTTCTCTGGACTTTCTCCAATTTGTCCACATCTTTCCTGAAACTTGGCACCCAGAACTGGACACAATACTCCAGTTGAGGCCTAATCAGTGCAGAGCAGAGCAGAGCAGAGCAGAGCAGAATTACTTCTTGTACCTTAGTTACAACACTCCTGCTAATACATCCCAGAATGATGTTCGGTTTTTTGCAACAGTGTTACACTGTTGACTCATATTTAGCTTATGGTCCACTATGACCCCCAGATCCCTTTCCACAGTACTCCTTCCTAGGCAGCCATTTCCCATTTTGCATGTGTGCAATAGATTGTTCCTTCCTAAATGGAGTACTTTGCATTTGTCCTTATTGAATTTCATCCTATTTCAGACCATTTTTCCAGTTTGTCCAGATTATTTTGAATTTTAATCCTCTTCTCCAAAGTGCTTGCAACCCCTCCCAGCTTGCTATCATCTGCAAACTTTATAAGTGCACTCTCCCTACCATTATCTAAATAACTGATGAAGATATTGAACAGAACCGAATCCAGAACTGATCCCTGTGGGACCCCACTTGTTATGCCCTTCCAGCGTGACTGGGAACCACTGATAACTACTCTCTGGGAACGGTTTTCCAACCAGTTTTACACCTACATTATAGTAGCTCTATCTAGGTTGCATTTCCCTAGTTTGTTTATGAGAAGTATCAAAAACCTTACTAAAGTCAAGATATATCAATCTTTGTGTAATCTTCAGACTTTACAAGCAACATCTTCCAAATCATTACTAAAGATATTGATTATCACAGGGCTGAGAAGGTCCCACACCAGAAAACACTGCCATTTGATGAAGATTCTCCATTCACAATTACTTGTTGAGATCTATCAGTGAGCCAGTTTTTAAATACGTTTAAAAGGCATGATACTGATTTTGTCTATGTGATATGTAGAGAATGTATGTCTGCTTTAAAAGAAACGATCTTATGTTTCAGGCACTAGCCTAGGACTTGTGAGACCTGAGTTCAAGTCCCTGCTCCTCCACAGACTTCATGTATGACTTTGGGCAAGTCTGTCTGTGCTTTGGTTCCCCATCTATAAAATGAGGAAAACAGCACTGCCTGGCCTTACAAGGGTGTTGTGGGGATAAATCCATTAAAGAGTGCAAAGTGCTTGAATACTACCATAATGTAAGAACTACCATTATATAAGAACCATATAGAATTTACATTTAGACAGAAATCAGTATATTTTTTTCAAGAAATAAATGATTTCCCCTTCTCCCCACTGTGTCATTTTTTAAATGTTTTTCCAAGGGTGGCAGGATACCACAGATAGGCCTGAGTCACAAAGTTTAACTCTGGGGCTGCATTTTCCCCAATGTTCAGGGGCATTCACATGTATGATTTTGTTTTGGACTTCCCTATGTGCTACAATGTTTTATGTAGTATATTCCTGCATGATAAACTGAATCTAAAATAGCCTCTGAAAACCTACCCATTCAATTGGAATGAACCACCATGTTTTAAAATACATTCATATTCCCAGAGCATAAATAATTGGAGGGGGGGATAGATAGGGATGTTGCTGTTGCCTTAAGAACATCAAGATCTTATAAACCCCAGGCTTTAGCAAAGACAGATCTGAAAACCAAACATCCATAGCCACAGCCTTTACCCATTTTACATTGTATTTAAAAAGCAGTTCCTCTATATAGGACTCTGCTCTTATAGTGCACGTTTCATGTACAAATACGTTGTGCTTTACCTGATTTACAATTTTTTTGTATTGGCATAGTTTTCATAACAGTGATGCTCAGTTCATTTATTGTCACAGACAATCATACACTTGGAAGAGCAGTGCTATTCATTATACTGACAGATTTTACAATTTTTACAAAATTATTTAAGATGATTTTAAAGTGACTTTAACACGAACAGGATGGGGCCCATTATTTATACCCTGATACAATTTAGCCTAATATGGGTGGGAACTCAGGACCAAATGCTGGCACTTTGTGCCAATCCCGTTGTGCTGTTCCAGCAGTGCAATAGGAGCAGGACCTGGTTGCATTTCCCCTGATGGGAACTCCCCTGACACAGAAGAGCCACCAGCTTGAGTAGAGCTTTCATAGCTGACGCCAGGGCCGGCTCCAGGCACCAGCTTGGCAAGCAGGTGCTTGGGGCGGCCACTCTGGAGAGGGGCGGCAGGTCCAGCTATTCGGCGGACGGTCCCTCACTCCCGCTCAGAGCGAAGGACCTCCTGCCGAATTGCCGCCGCAGATCGCGATCGCGGCTTTTTTTTTTTTTTGGCGCCGCTTGGGGCAGCAAAAACCCTGGAGCCAGCCCTGGCTGACGCCTTTGCTTTAGCATCTTTAGGAATTGCTACCACTGGTGGAATGTAGAACAGGCCCCAGGCCAAACTCTGCTGGGATCAGGACTGGGGGAAAAAGCTAGCCACAGGATCTGAGAGCTGTAAATAGCTCCTCGATGGTCTTTCTCTTGAACTGCACTCAGATGAGGCTTGGCAGAGGATCTGGGTCAAATTATAAAAAGAGAACAAAATTACAACCTACAGGCCCTGAAATCAATAGATTTTACTGACACAATTTGGCCCTTCCACTTAAAAAAACAACAACGCAGGAAAAGATACGTCTGGTTCCTAACTCAGTATTTTCTCTCCATAAAAGCTCTGTACGAGATGGGGTGTAAGGCTTCAAGTTGCATAAATCAACGTTCCATGGTACTTAAGTTTTATTTGCATCCTCTGACAAGACAGAACATTAAGTTCTCTCCACTAGATTTGCTACAGAGTACAGCATGGAGCCTGCTTTCGTTCATGCCGTTGACTAATCTACAGTGTGAGGCTTACTGAGAAATGTCACTTTTTGATGGTCATTGTTATAAACATAACACAGCACACAGCTAAGTAAGCAAAATGCTAAATTGTCACAGGCTTCATAATTTATTGTCCGTAACTGGGTTACTCAGCAGGTTTTGTGGTTTAATTTAAATGAATTTGGTTTAATTCACTGTACATTCTTTAGCAGACAGGGAAGGACCAGGTTTGATAAAGACGTGACTGTGCTCTAAAAACTTCCACGATGAGGCCCAATTCCACAGTTGCTTCTTGTGTGGAGCTCTCATGAAAATCAGCAAACACACACACACACACACACACACGAACTGGATCCCCACCATGGGGTAACTAAATGTCCACATTCAGGGCCAAATCTTGTAAAATCACTCCACTACATGCCACTCCATCCCCTTTAATCTGCCTTTTATGATGCATGTTAGGCTAACTCAAAGTGGCTTCTGCACTTTTGGTTTTTACTGCACATTGCTGCACCCAGGTGCTGTGAAGACACTCAGGGCAGAGCTGGCCCCAATAAATTCACCTTATGCAAAAAGTAGAAAACTGCTACTCTCCTTTTTTGATACACACCTCCTCTAAGCCCGCTGGAGGACTAGGATTTTGCTTGCTAGTTTCCCATAATCTTCCCTCCCACCGCACCTCCAAAAAGAGGTCTATACTGACTTTCTTTATGCTACATTTTAATATTCTCGATAATGAAATCTATAAAACAGAGACTGCTAGAACTCTGACA